GCCCCATAGGACTGGACAGTTGATGCATTTCTTCCAGAGCTCAGAGCTCAGAACCCACCACTTACTGGTGGTGTGACCGTGGGCAGGTCATGTGACCTTGGGCAGGTCCTCTGCCCTCTGAGCCTCAGCTTCCTCCTCTGTAGATGGGTAGAATCCTGCTAGTGCCTGGGGGCTCGGTCTGCAGCCCTCACACCACAGGTGTAGCGTGTCCCATCCTAACCCTTGTTGTCTTCACTGCTATGACTGCTGCCCTGGCTGAGACCATCCTAGGCCTAGGCCTTAGTGACCTCATCTTGGCACCCCAGAGCTGCTGGGGGCAGTGAATGCCAGGCCACAGGATGCTGTTACCCAGGCCAGAGGCGTTGAGCTGAGCTGGCCTCCCTCCTGGACAGCCCAGGGTCCCCTCCCTTCCCCAGGCCTTGCCGTGAGCGCAGCAGCCGGACCCAGAGGCCTGGGGGCGGGGGGGGAAGAGGCAGCTGGATAGAAAGTGCTTAGGGGGCTGGGGCTTGCCTGTGAGCCCAGAGGAGCCCAGAGGATCAGTGGGACGGGCCTGCCTACTCACAGGAGTCGGCGTGGGCCCTGTCACTGGCTTGCCAGCGCAGGGGTACTGAGCAGAGCTGGGCTTGGAGGCCCTTGTCATTGTGAGAAGCCAGTGCCCAGCCCAGGTGGGTCCCTCCATGCTGGGCCACCTCAGCCAACTCAGACAGGATTAGTATTTGGAGGGTCCCCCTGGCACCCCTAGCATCTCCCAGTCCCCTCACCCCCTTTGCAGACCTCACACTGTGTTCTTTTATTCTTACATTTTATTATGGAAAATGTCAAATACACAGAAAAAATGGAAAGAATTGCACAATGACCACCCATGTGTCCACCGGCTAGACTCTGCCCTGAAACTTCATTCCCTGTTTTGGTCACTTGTCTGGCCGCACACGTGTCCCGCACCGGCCATGCATTTGAGAGTACGTCCAGTACTCTGAGGAAGTGCCCAGTTCCTAAGCATGTCATTCCTAGTGCGTTGACAACTTCGTGTGCAGCTGCGGCCCACAGCCCCATCCAGGCACAGCACAGGGCCCTCTCCCTGAGGTTCCCAGCACGGCTTGCTCTTGTCTAGTCTGACACCTTGTCCCGTTCGCGCTGGTGCCAGGCGTGATGCTCGAGATGTGCCGTGTTGTGTATATTGAGCTCCGTTGCCTGCAGGGATCCTGAGTGTGCCTGTCCACTCTCCTCGTGTCTCCCCTGCACTGTGTCCTCGCCAGGACTTGCTGTCCCCACAACGTTCTGTGTGGTTTTTAAAAATTAAGATAAAATTCACATAACATGAAATTTACCATCTTACTGATCCTCAAGTATCACTCCCCGTTCCTACCGCTAATCTACCTGGCAACCGCTACCCTCTCTCTAGGTTTATCTGTTCTCGACATTTTATATAAATGGAATCACACGATTTGTGGCCGTTAGCGACTGGCTTCTTTCACTTGGCGTAGTGTGTTCAGGGTTCATCCACGTTGCAGCGTGACTCAGTATTTCGTTCCTTTCTGTTGCGCGATATGCCCCTGTGCAGCTGGACCACTTCGTGTTATTACTTCCTCAGTTGCTGGCACGTTTGGGCTCTCCTGGCGAATGCTGTCTGAGTACCCGTGTGCAGTTTTGTGTGGACATTCCTTCTGGCTTCTCCTGGTATGTGTGCCCAGGAGCGGAAGTGCTGGGGCACTCGGTGCTCAGCTGTTCTCACTGCTTTCTTCTCTCTTCCAGCTGTGTGTGCTGCGAGGGCAGGTGCGGGTCTGTCCCTAACCTGCTGCCTGACCCCCAAGGGAGTGAGCCTGGGAGGCAAAGGGAGGGGCTCAGGGTCCCTACCTCTGGGGCCTGCGCAGAGCAGCAGTGTAGCCGGGCCGCAGGCAGCACTGTCAATGTGTGTTCTCCCGTCTCCCTCATTTTCCAGCCACCCAGGTCGATCCTCGGGACCTCCAGGAGCTATTCCAGGAGACTTCGGCCAATGTCTTCCGAATCAACTCCAGCGGTGAGTCTGCACCTGGCCCAGGCTCGCCCCTGCCCCCTGGGTGCCCTGGGCCGCTGAGGTGACATTGGGGGTGGCAGTGCTGGTGTGTGGCTTTTTCCTTCCCTGGGCCATCCTGTGGTCCAGTCCCAGGTTTTTGGGGATAGGAGGGAGCTAGGACCTGGGCAGGGACCCAGGCTGCGGCTTCTGCACCCCCAACCCCCTGCCTGCTGCCCAGCTACACAGCAGGAGCCCTCAGCTCCTCCCTGCCCCCTTCTCCCTGGCTCAGCATGCACCCTCTGTGTGATCCAGATGAGGCCCTATTGACAAAGGAGCCTGTCCCAGGTTCCCTCAGGCTGACAGGGCTGGCAGACTAGAGGTCACTAAGGCTAGGGGTCAGGGGACAAGAGCCATACCCAGGTACCCAGCAGAGCAGGGCGGATAGGGGAGAGGGGAACAAAGGGGAAGGCACAAGCCTGCGGACCTGTCCCAGGCTGTCTGGGGGGTGGGTCCTGGCTGGAGTAGCCTTCTGCTGGGGGCAGGGAGGTCCCCACCAGGCCCAGGCCTCTAGGCCACTTAGGTGGTCTGCCCTGGCCCTGGCCCCGGCCCCAGCCTGCCTGTGCTGTGGCAGGCTGCTGTGTAGAGCTGCTGCAGCAGCAAGGAGGCTCCTTCAGCTCCTCACACCTGTCCCTCTTCTCTCCGGCAGTGACCTCCTTGGAGCGGAGCCTCCGGTCCCTGGGAACACCAAGTGACACGCAGGAGCTTCGGGACAGCTTGTGAGTGTGTGGGCTGCCGCATCTCCGTGCCTGTGTGTGGTGCCACATGGGTGCGAGGGGGTCCTGTGAACACTTGCACACTGGATCTATCCACACAGCCCCACGGGTCACCTCTCCTCAGGGCACACAGGTGCATCCCGCCCCCACGTAGAAGCCCAGGTGTGCCTGCGGACGCCCCAGAGACACAGGCATGCATGTGCTCAGGTGGTGGTGTATACACCTGCTCGCACACATTTTGCGTCACCAGCACTCCCCAAGCGGTTCTCCACCACACCCCAGCCTCGATGAGGGGCCCTTGCACTTGTGCGCACACTTGTGGACATGCCATGACACAGACGTGCCATTTGCAAAACTGCAGGCTGCGCTGGAGTGGGGTGTTCAGGTTCCGATTCTGCCCCCCAGGAGCTGAGCCTTCATGGGGTCTGCGGGCTTTCCAGAGGCCTGCCCCCGACAGGCGGGCCTAGGGTGATCTGTGGGCCCCGAAGGAGAAGGAAAGGTGCCTCAGGTGCTGTCTGCTGAGCCGAGCCTGGCTGAGCTGGGGAGAAGGGAGCCTCTATGGGGAAATGACGCCTTGAGCCTGGTGTGTTGGTTGGAATTGTCGGGACTCTGGACTCTGAAGGACGCAGGCAGGCCTTCGCCCTTCCAGCCAGACCCCGCCACACTCACTGCCCCAACCTCTCTGTGCCCGGCCTGGCCCGTGTCCTGCTCTGCAGTGACATGGGATGCCTTTGGCCCCAAGGGCCCCAACCAGCCCTGGGGTCCTAGAGATGTCTGGTCCTTGAGTCTACCCTCTGCCACCTGCCCTGTACCCTCCTGGGCTGAGCTGGTGGCCACCCAGCCTCATGCCCTGAAAGGGCCAGAGCTGACGAGGGGAAGGCTGTGAGGGCCGGGGCTGCGGTGAGGGCACCGGGCTCTCTGCCTCCTCCCCGCAGCTTCACTCAGAACTCACGGACACCCTGCTGAGAGGGCCCTGGGCTCCACGTGCAGAGCACCCTTTGCAGATGTTACGTGCAATTCTGTTCCTAATTTTTCTTTTTAGTTTTTTTCAAAACATTTTATTGTTTTCTGATGTGAGAGTAACATATGCTCATCATAGACAATTTGGACACACAGGATGCCCGAGGAACCACTGCTAACGTGCTGGTGTTCCCAGCCAGCCTGCTCTCCAATCCCCGCTCGTTTCACGGTTAGATCGCAGCAACTGGCACTCCGGACCCTGCTCGTTGCACTTGGGTTGCGTGGTGCGCGTGCCCTCATTAGATGCTTTTTGAAAACATGCTCTTCAGCGGCGCGGAGGATGCCGTTGAACACACGTAATCTGTGTAAGCAGGACTCCGGGCCGGCTCTCTCCGCTTTCTGTGTTATGAGCAGAGTTCTGGGGGCGTCGTTGTGTTTAAATCTTTGTGTCGCTGCCTGTTTCCCAGGCTGGGTCCCTGGGGTCAGGTGGGTGGGCAGTTCTGGATCCTGGCCCTCACCTGTGTCCTGGGCTACATGGCCTGGTTAGCTGAAGAACGTCACCTATCGTGGGCTTCAGAGAGGATGGGGGATCCCATGCTGACCACAGCCTGGTCTGAGGCCGGTGTCCCCCCCAGCAGCTCACTCCCCGTCCCCTCCTATTACCTTAGTGCTTTCCTGCCCCTCCTGAAGTGACTGGCTCCTGCCCAGGCTGCAGGCCCAGCCTGCTTGTCACGGCCTTCCAGAACCTTCCATAACTCCATTTGAGGTATGCATATCATGGACTGTTAACATTTTAAAAATAACTTTTTAGACTAATGTGGGGTTGCCAACTCTATATTTTCTACACATTGACAGAGTCACCAGCTTCTTATTTGGCCAAGTAAGGGCTTAGGAAAAAGAAAAAAAAGAAAAAAGAACACTACGGTCAATTATGGCCATCATTTTATAAAGGAAAGGACAGTTCCGTCCTGCAGGAGCTGGAGGGGGCTGACCTCAGGGGAGAGGATTGTCCTCCAAATTGAATAAATTCTGCTTCACAAAAGCCTCATGAGGCTGAGCCTGTTTTTCTCATCTTATGTGAGGCAGGTGTGATTCAGTGGTGTCTGTTAGCCCTCTGGACCTTGCCCCCGACCTCTCCATCACGGGCCCCAGGGTGGAGGGGGGTGGCCGAGTTGATGATCCCATGGACGAGGCTTGGTGGCAGTAGGTTCTGTGTGCTTTGGGCTCATAGAGGCCCAGCGTCAGCCCTTAGGGAGTAGCAGCTGAAAGAAGGAACAGTAACCCCAGTGGCTCCGAGTGGGCAGGGCCCCTGTGCACCATCCTCAGCATTGGAGCTGTGCCTGGGGCAGGCGTTGCGGCCCTGTGTCCACAGGTGAGGAGGCTCCGGCTCCAAGTGGCCGGTAGGTTGACCAGGGGCCCAGAGTGCATCAGCGATGGAGCTGGCTGGAGTTGGGCCAGAACCACAGCCTGGTCTACCCTTGCTCTAGATCAGCCTGAGTTCATGGGAGGCAGGGGCTCCTCCCAGGGTGGTGGAGGGGTGCCCCTTGCTGGGCTCGCAGGGCTCCAGGTCTGTCTGCCCCAGTTCTGATGGTTGGGGTGGCCCAGCTCCTCCGAGTGGGTGTGGGGGTTCATGTGCAGGGCTGAGGCCTCTCCTGGGCCACACTTGGCTGCCTCTGACAACACCCTCAAGTCCCCAGTGACAGTCAGACCCCCACAGGACCGAGTGGTGGGGGAGGCACCGCTTCCTGTGCAGACTGAGGTCTCTGTTGGCCCAGGCCTTGGTGGTCCCTTTCCAGTGTGTTTCTGACCTGGTGGGGAACCCTCCTGCCACCTATCTCTCCTGGTGGGATTCTCCGTTGCTATGGAAACAGCAGCATCAGAGCTCAGAGTGGCGCTTCAGGGCACCCCAAAGGGCTAATACCGAAGTGGGTGGGCAGGCTCGCTGGAGTTCCCTCCAGCATCGTCTTCCACACCCCCCCACACACATTCTCAGATCTTCTAGTCAAGCTCGGCCCTCACTGGCCGGCCCCCACCCGGGCCCTTCTGCTCTCCCTCCCCCTCCACTCTTGCCTGTTCCTGCCTCACTGCCTGTCAGTGCTCAGCACTTCGTTCCTAATGCTGCCTGATGGGGAGGAGTCCACTCAGGTGCCTGGGTGGCCCTGAAGCCAGGGTCCCAAGTGTGGGGGCCAGAGGGAGCTTCGAAGGGAAAGCACACTGCCTGGCTGCTGCCACCCGCTGAGAGCAGGGAGGACTCAAGAGCCTGGGGACCGGGGTCCAAGCTATGGTTAGGGGCTGCAGGCAAGGCCCACCCTGGCCTCACTACTGGGATCAGGGCCAGGGTCTTATGTCATGGTAGGAGTAGGGATGGGCCAGTGGGGGAGGCTGAGAAGAAGCCACCAGGCAGGTGGGAAGAGGACCAAGAGAGTGTGTGCTGTGAAGCCAAATGGTTGGGGGCCTTCAAGGAGAAGTGATGGTGTTGCAGGGCTCAGGAAGAGCCAGGAGCCCACTGCAGGGCTGGCCAGGGCCGGGCACCCCTGGGCAGAGAAGGGCTGGACTGTAGCCTGGGGCAGGTGAAAGGCCCCCTGGCAGCCGAGGCCACATGGAGGCTTCGGAGCCTATGGCCGGGTTTGGATGCTGCCCCACCTGGGTGGGCTGGGCACTGCACCACGTTCTCCCTGCTCTGCTTCTCAGAGCTCCTGTCTGTGAATGGGTCTGTGGGCTCTGGCCTTGCTCAGGCACAGGGCCTGGGGTCAGCGGGTTCCCAGGGAGCCACCACTGAGCTGACCCACTTGACTGGAGTGGAGGGGTGCGGTGGCCATAGGCAGCACCTGGAGGTCCGGCTGGCTTGCTGGGGTCCCGGGGAGGTGAGGAGGAACCAGTGCTCTGACAGGCTGTGTGGCTGAGTACACTGATCTGCAGGATGTCCTGTGGGGCCCAGACGCCAGCTCTGGACTCAGGAAGGTGGGCAGTGGGTGTGGGTGGAGGGGTATGGTTTGGTGTCTCCACTGGGGACCGGGAAGCAGTTCCCCCTCCCTCCATGGTTGAGGGGCTCTAGGTGTGTGCTGTGAGGAATCTGGTCGCGGAGGCCAGGCGCTGGCGGGGGTGGCGCCTACTCAGTGACCCACAGGGTCGGCTGGGTCTCTGCCTGTCTTCTCAGCACTCTTCTCTTCCCCACGCCATTGGATGCTGTGTGGCCTGGTCCTGCAGGACGGTGGGTGGGAGGACAATCCCCATTGGCATTCCCTCCCGTCCTCTTCCCCTCCTCCCCCGACCCTGACCCCAACCCTGACCCCTCACCTGTCCTGGTTGGCACAGCTTGGACGATTGTTTGTGAAGTTGGCTGGGCTCTATTTCCTTCCAGCTGGAGACCGTCTCAGTCTGGAGAGAAGCGTGGGGGACCAACGTACCCCTCCTGGTGTGTGACAGAGAGGACCTGTCCTCCCTGGGGTTTTTGGACTTGTTCCAATGGGCCACATTCTCTGATCTGCTGTGCTGGGGATAGGTCGGGGTGGCCCTGAGCGGGGCGTACAGGTAGAGGTGGCATGAGGGTCTGCCCGGCCCACCTGCCAGGGTGCAGCAGCGGGACGGGGGGGCAGACTGCTGGCTCTGCGTGAGCAGCACTTCCCTTCTCTCTGGGATTTGCATGTCGGAATCCACACAGGAGAGATCAGGAGGCCTGGATCGAGGTAATCCAGGCCCCGGGCTCCGCGGCTCTTTGAGGGGCTTAGTCCTAACAGCCCTGCGCTGCAGAAGCACCCGGGCAGAGAGGGCTGCCACGGGGCAGGACCACAGAGCCCGTGAGCGCCCGTGACTGAGCATGCTTGCACGCACAGACCCTGGGGTTCCGCTCCGGAGGGGGAGGGTGGGGGAAAGCGCGCTGCAGCTGCTTCTCCAGTCCTGCGCTGTTCGCAGGCTGCTGTGAAATCGCCCCGATCACCCGCTGAGCTGATTGTGGGAAGGCCCACGGCTCACTTCCAGAGCTGCCTCTAGGGCCCGGAGACTGACCAAACCCAGGTCCCTCATTTTACTTGTGGGGAAACCGA